GGGGGGGGGGGGGGGGGTAGCCCAGTGAAGCAAGAGTGGGCTGCTTCACTGATCCACTGTGTTTTGAAAGACAGCTAAAGCCAGGCCCCGGCTGCTTTCGCATATGGGTTTGGTGCTTTTCAGAACAGCGGTGGACCCGTGCTTAAAGCAGAGCAATTGCTGACTATGGTGTTGGGGGAATGGCTTCTCCTCGCAGCGCAGCTCCGTGCGGCTCTCACAACTGCTTCACCACTACCACCACAACACATGCTATTTTTGAACACCGGTTTAACTATGGGGTTTAGGGCAGGGCTAGAAGTGATTGCAGGAGATCTGGAAAAGGCAACTTTTTACTTGCCAGGCCTCTGATCAGAGGAGAAGCAGAATGAGCAGGCAGCCAATTCTCTACCCTTCAGATCCCCCATCCCATGCGATCAGAGGCCTGGCAGAAAATGTTGAATAATGTGTATTAATATTGCACATTTAATATTAGTTCTCATTCTCCTGCTTTACTGTGCGGCTACCACTAGGGAACTGTTATTCAGGCTGGTCCAGTGTGAGTGTTATTTCTCACCTGGATAAAAAGTTTAGCAATTAACAAAGCAAAGAACAAACACAGGTTGCCCCTCTTTCACACATACACAGACACAAAAGAGGAAATGAACAATGAGTTTTTGTGAGTTTTGTGAGTTTTTCCATCACAAATCGCTTATATAAAGATTTCTCATCTAAAAGCATGGCACTCAGTGGCATCCTTGTGTTTTTAACCTTCATAAATGCTATAAATCAGAGCTATTTTCTTCCTCCTCATATTAACTGCTTCCAGTCTAGACTGCAAGGAGGGAAGTATGTCATCCACGTCTGCAAGCCAGCAGTTGGCTCAGATGCCTGGTGGGTTTTCTAGGGGAGAACCTAGTTTGGCAGCACCAGACTCTTCCACTGTTAGAACAGCCTTTAATGCTACTTTAAGACTGGATCAGCTAAAGACAACTTTAAACTGCCTCACTTGTGGGCTGGGGATGAGATCAAGGAAATATCATGGAGTCTCCCCATGTAAAAATGGTTACCAGGACATGTTCAGGTACAGGACATGTACCAGGATAAGTCCCAAAGCTCCTTTTTGGTCCTCAAATAACCACCTGCTTATAGTTGGAGATATGACTGTATACCTTTGCTCTAAATTAACAGCTTCTCTTAATGTGCATAATACCTGGCTAGAATCCCTTCTCCTTGTTTCTTATTCATAAGGCTCTTCCTCACATGTATGTTATCCATTCCCAGAGTGGAAAAGGCTCTGATAACCTGTAACGGGAGGGAATGCATCCAAAGTACTGACCAACAAAATGATACAGATAACACGGCCAGCCCTCTTCTATCTCCCTGGAGAGTTTTTCTACTGACCTGTATGCGAACTTCCTCATTGGTGTCCAGTTCTAGCATCTCTAACAAGGTAAAGAACACACTCCTGTGGCGGATACCAAGAACACCCTAGTAAGAGACAAAGTAGGAAGCATCCCTGATTGGCAATTTTGGAAAGTAAGCAATGTAGAAAGTTCCTATCTGCACATGAATATAAAGTGAAGTCTACTTCACATTGACCTTGACTCATAGAATCGTGGAGTTGGAAGGGGCCTCAGAGGTCATCAGGTCCCATCCCAGCCCTGCAGGACTCACTACACCATTCCTGATTGATGACTATCCAGCCTCTGTTTGAAAGCCTCCTGTGAAGAGGAAGAAACCACTCCATGCAGTAACCTCTTCCACTGATTGACAGCTGTTACTTTCAAGAAGTTCTTCCTCATGTCAAATCTGTATCTACATCCTTGAACTTTCATCCCATTAGTTCTAGTCTTACCCTCTGGAGCAAGTGAGAATAAATCTGAACCCTCTACAATCTGGCTATCTTTCAGATATTTGAAGACAGCTATTGTGTCCATTCTCAACCTACTCTTCTGCAAGCTAAACATGTCTAGGTCTTTTAACTGTTCTTTGTAGGACTTGGTTTCCCGTCCTTTCATCATCTTGGTAGCCCTTCTCTGGAATTTCTCCACTTTCTCAGTGTCTTTTTTAAATGGGGTACAGAACTGGACACAATATTCCAAGTGAGGCCTGACCAAGCTTTGTATCATCTCCAAATTTGGTAAACATTCTCTTGACTCCCTCATCTTTATCACTTATAAGAACTTTGAACAGCACCAACCTCAGGACAGAACCCTGTGGCACCCTGTTTGAGATGTCTCTCCTGGTAGATTTGACACCATTTATAACTACCCTTTGAGTACAGTCCTTGAGCCAACTGTGGATCCACCTAACATTTGAGCTGTAAAATCCGTATTTGACTATTTTTTTTAATAAGGATGCTATGAGAGTCTGCCAAAAGAAGCCTTGCTGAAGTCAAGATATACTTTATCCACAGCAGTTCCTCGATCAACCAGGCTAGTAACTCTATCATAAAAGGAGATCAAGTTAATTTGGCATGACTTGTTCATCATAAATCCATGTTGGCTCCTGTTAATTAATGAATTCCTATCTCAGTGCTCACAGACATGCTGTTTGATAATCTGCTCAAGGACCTTGGTGATTTCATGGATTCCTCCTTGTACTTTCTTGGAAACATTATAGAAGTGATTTGTCATTGCTTTCTGAAACTTTTTTTATTTCTAAATCTAACAGCTCTGGTGTTGCCTGATGGCCTCCCATCCAAGTACTAATCAAATTCAACCCTGCTTAGCTTTATGAGTTCAGCCAAGGACAGCTAGGTGCTGCAACCTGCTTGATTCAGTTAGCACATACAAAGCCCTAAATAATTTGAAGCCAGGTTATAACTGGATTCACAACTGCATTAAGGGTGGCATCCTCAAATTGTGGGTTGTGACGTCACTCCTCCACGAGAGCAGGGTCATGGCCAGAACTCACACCTCCCCTGCCTGGAAAGGAACTGAATTAATGAAAAGGCTTTGTTCTATCAGGCTGCAGGTTCTATCATTGTTTTTGTTTGGTATGTAGACTGAAATGTGATTACTGAGGGTGGGCGGTATGCTTATTGCAGAGCCACAATATTTGAGAAGTCCTGCACTATTATTTGTGTTAACCATGATTTGCTAATCAAACCACAATTGGCTGGATTCACTCACTATTCTAAGAACAAGTCATAATTAATAAACTATGGTGGCTAAAAGAAAATATCTATGGTTTAGCTGGCGGCACCTTGCAAAAAGGAGTTGGGAGCAGTTGCCGGTAAGCGCGAAAAACTGCATGCGCCCGAAAAGGGCGCGAAGCAATGGAAAAAAACCCGCCTCCTGCGCACTCCAGCTGGGCTCTGCTCTAGGAAGGAGGCTCTGGCAAACCACTTCCGAAAAACAATTGCCT